GAAAGGTATTGTTGGTTTTCTAAAAACGGTTCTTCTATAGAGTTGTTCCTAACGTCATTTTTTTTCTTACTTCCGCATATCCTTCTAAATGTTACTGGGAGAGTTGTATACTGAAGTGGTGCACAGCGCAGAACCGGCATCACTATATCTCCTCCTCCTCCTTCCAGCATGGTGTCTTAGGACGGGAATAACCCTGCTGTTCACGAACAAGAAGGCCCGTGAACAGAATGTGCCAGGAGGGACGTACAGAGGAAAAGGGTTGTCAGGCTGTGCTCCTTTAGTGAGGAAGGGGGAAGAACTCTACCACTATTGCGATCTGGACGGAAGCCTCCATTGTACTTTAACGTTCTGTGAAATTGTAGAGCGAGAGAGCAACAGAATGTCACTGGCACAAGTGCCAAAGCTGTGCTTGACTGGTTCACCTATTGTTGAAAAGTCTTTTCCGGAATGGTATTGGTCGTGAGAAGAGAAAAGCTGAATGGAACATCGGAAAACACCTCATTAAAATCGATGGGCTCAGATTTAAAGTGCCCTTTAAGTACACTCATGGTCGTCGTTGAAGTGAATTAGCGCACCTGCCGAAGAAGGCGACGGCGATTCCGTAAAAACATATCGGGACCTTGTTTTATGCATTGATGATCCATGAGTTTTTGGACGCTAGCTACTGCAACACACACCAGCGAGATGCACCGACGTTGATTCCTATCATGTAATGCGTAGTAGAAGCCGGCTCAACAGTACCTTGCCAGTTTGTTCATGATTTAATCAGGCTGGATACGGTCACAAACCAAACCAATCACGAGGAAAAGGACATTGACGGGTGCGCGCAACTAACAAATAGACAGGACTCGGTTAGACAGTAAGATTACGATTTTGAAGAAGAAGCCCACTGAGTTCCACAACACTGTGGACGTGCTCTTAAAAGGGACATTAAAGAAGTATTTATGAACAGATGTGAAGGGTCGCGCTCCAGGTGTTTACACGAGTAAGGGAGAGGGCTGCGCGAGCACCAGAACAGTCCTGAGTTTTCAAACTACTGTAAACTGGCAAATTGCCTGTAAACTGGCATAATAAACATATATATATATATATGAGTTCCTCTTCAGGGAACGAAATAGGCGACAATTATAATGAGTGTAAACCAATCATGTATTAGTGACCGCGCAGAGCTCTGTACGCTGGCGCCAAATCAATACATAGATTGATTGAGTCCCTGTCCATGGATCAGACTTCAAGCAATTCCGCGCTCGTCTGGATTCTGGCGTGAGCGAGTGCTTTGACGCCAGCAAAGTTGAACTTATGCCTCGTTTCGTAGGTGTGGCCAGCAACTTGTGATAATTTTGTCTCCCCGTCGTACAGCCAGCTTTTGTTCATGTATGCACGATCCGAGCTTGCGTTCAGTTAGATCTGTATAATTACATGGACAGTTTAGGCATCGGATGTGATGCATTACCCCAGATTGCTCATTAGGATTAAAACGGTCTTTCATTTTCACGACCCTGCTGCGCAAGGTAGCTTCCATCCTGTGCGTAATTCCAAAACCTAGTCCCACCGTGATGCACTCAGTCGCGCCTGGAATGTGCCTAATCCATGGCAGGGCGTGCCATATCCTCGGTGGTGCTTCTGTTTGGATCCTCCGAGGCCGAACGCGTGATATCGGTTTAAAAAAACCCTAGCTGTTTACTTGTTCTTTAATTTGGTTCTGCTTTTCGCAATATATAGACGAGACCTATGTTAAACCTGATTATGGTTTTTGGCCAATACCTAGTAGGATAGGAATCACAATGGTAACAAGAACACGCCATAGTAATATCTCCCTTTTTCTCATTCTCCGTATTACACTCGTTTTTCTCCTTTTGCACGCATTCTTTCATACCTCTCTCCCCAACCACGATTTTTATTCTGCTAGTGCCT